AAGAAGAAGAAGAAGAAGAAGAAGAAGAAGAAGAAGAAGAAGAATAGAGAATAGCAGCAGTGCTAGAAGGGAGTGGGGTTTGTAGGAAAGAGGAAGAGGATGAGAAGAAGGAGGAGGAGGAAGAGGACTCTCAGGGCTTGGTGCTTTTCTTTCAGATGTTTCATTACCCAACTAGGTATCATCCTCAGTTTCAGATGACCTTCAGAGTCTCTGTTTTGTCCCACTTTCTAGCTTAGGTGGCTTCTTAATGCACGAACCTGTTGCGTGCAGGACATCTACAGAACATGCAGCCATTAAGAGTGAGGCTGCAACGTCCCTCAAGAATTGCACGTACACCCAGGACAGGGGCCACAGGGTCAATCTACTAGCAGCTTGCTCATCCGTGTACAGGCTGCGGAGATCCCTCAGGTCGTCTCGGTGGCTTTCCAACACAGGTCCAAAGCCCTTGGATTGACCGCCAAGGAAGTCAACTCAAAATACTGGACCTCTCCTCCCCTTCCCCCTGCCTCTTCCACATGGATGGTTGGAGTTGCACAAGGAGGGCTTGGTTGTCAGCTGCGACCTGCTCCTGAATGGAGTATCTTGTTTCGCCCACAAGAACACATCTCAGCAATTCAGGGGGATGAGATGGTGGCCCTGAGGGTGGTGCTCAGCTTCCTCAGAGGCTGGACAACAGGGCACCTTTGTAGTCTAGAAAGAGTTACAAAGATGATTACAGGACTGGAGGCAAATCATGCAATGAACGGTTGCAGAAACTTAGGTATACGCAACCTAGAATTAAGGAGAAACTTCCTAACAGTGAGGACAATTCACCCCGTGGAACGGCTTGCCTTCAGACGTTGTGGGTGCTCCATCACTGGAGGTTTTCAAGAAGAGATTGGACAACCATTTGTCTGAAATTGGTATAGGGTCTCCTGCTTGAGCAGGGGGTTGGACTACTAGAAGATCCATGTTGAGATGTTGAGACCATAGAAAGAGTCCAAAGAAGAACGGCTCAGATGATAATGGTCTAAAGGCTAACCCATATGATCAGGGGTCTTCAAACTTGGCCCTTTTATGACTTGTGGACTTCAACTCCCAGAATTCCTCAGCCAGGCACACTGCCTGAGGAATTCTGGGAGTTGGAAGTCCACAAGTCATAAACGGGCCAGGTTTGAAGACCCCTGCATATGATGAACAATTGAGGGAACTAGGTATGTCTAGCCATTGGAAAGAAGGACGAGGGGTGACATGAGAGTAGACTTCCAATATTTAAGGGGCTCTCTCAGAGAAGAGGGGGTCCACCTATTCTCCAAAGCACCTGAGGGCAGGACAAGAAGTAACAGATGGAAACTAGTCGAGGAGAGATCCAGACAGGGAGAACAGCTGATCAGTGGAACGACTTGCCTCCAGAAGTTGCGGGTGCTCCATCGCTGGAGGTTTTCAAGAAGAGATTGGACAGCCATTTGTCCCAAATGTTCTAGGGTTCCTGCTTGAGGAGGTGGTTGGACTGGAAGACCTCCAAGGTCCCTTCCAACTCTGTTATATTGTATTCTGCATGCTTATCACTTTGTCCAGGTTTTTGCTTGATGGAGACCTTATAAAAACAGCAGTTATCTAACATCTGTCCTGACATCACAAGAAGGTAAGGAGACCGACCACAAATGGTTTAGTTACAGGAAGTGTTAATCTAGCTCAGGGGTCTTCAAACCTGGCCCTTTTATGACTTGTGGACGTCAACTCCCAGAATTCCTCAGCCAGGCACACGTGCCTGGCTGAGGAATTCTGGGAGTTGACGTCCACAAGTCATAAAAGGGCCAGGTTTGAAGACCCCTGTCTTAAAGCATCCTGACTGAGGAATTCTGGGAGTTGAAGTCCACAAGTCTTAAAAAGGCCAAGTTTGAAGACCCTTGTGATAGATGATAGATAGGTGATAGATAGATGATAGAGATAAATAGGCTAGATGGAGAGATAGAGTAGATGGATGAGAGAGAAAGATGATAGATGACAGACAGACAGTCAGATATAATAGACCAAAGGTCTTCAAACTTGGCCCTTTCATGACTTGTGGACTTCAACTCCCAGAATTCCTCAGCCAGGCATGCTGGCTGAGGAATTCTGGGAGTTGAAGTCCACCAGTCATAAAAGGGCCAAGTTTGAAGACCCCTGGCCTAGCTGACCAGTTGTGGTGTCTGTGTCCTAAGATGCCCGTAAATGGAGTCCATCCCATCAGGGAAAGTTGGTAAATGCGCGCATGCGCGCGCGCGCGCGCACACACACACACACACACACACACACACACACACACACACCCATGCTGGTACTCCTTGGAGAAGAGATAGCTTAGTTGACAGAGTTGAGTCTTCAAGAATCCCACTTCCCAAATTATTTCTCCGACATCACTGCTTTCATTTGCTGTTGTTCTTCGTTGTTCTCACTGGCCTTCAGTGAGAACTCAGCGGTGGAAGGATTTTGTTAGTTGTGTACCATTGTGTTATCCTCTCCGTTCATGGCACGCTCCTTGATTGGGCAGTGATCGATCCAGGAAAGATAAAATACAGGTAGTCCTCGACTTCAATGACCACAACTGAGGCCCAATTTTCTGTTGCTAAGTCAGCTTTGCCCCATTTTATGACCTGTCTTGATGCGGTTGTTATGGGAATCGCGGCCGCTGTTAAGTGAGGAACACGGTTGTTAAGTGGATCTGGCTTCCCCTTTTGACTTTGCTTTTCCGAAGGTCGCAAAAGGGGGTCACGTAACTCCCGGGACACGGCAACCGTCATAAGTACGAGTCAGTTGCCAAGTGTCAGTTTTGATCACGTGACCCCTGGGGATGGCTGCAACGGTCGTAAGTGTGAAAAAGGACCACAAGTCGCTTTTTTTTCAGTGCCCTTGTAACTTTGAACGGTCACGAATCCCAAAGGTGTTTTTTTTTTTTCAGGAGGCAACTAGACTTTTTTTTGTTTTTTCTTTGAAGGCCTTTCGCTTCCCATCCCAGAAGCTTCTTCGGTTCTGAAGTACTCCTCCAGGAAGCTTCTTCCAGAACGGAGGAAGCTTCTTGGATGAGAAGCGAAACGTCTTCAGAGAAAGGATGTTTAGATGTCTAGTCTAAAGAAAAGAAGAAATAGGGGAGACATGATAGCAGTCTTCCAGTATCTGAGGGGCCGAGACAAGGCACAGGGGATCAAGTTGTTCTCCAAAGCGCCTGAAGGCAGGACAAGAAGCAAGGGATGGGAACCTATCAAGGAGAGAAGCAACCTGGATTTAAGGAGAAAGTTCCTAACAGTGAGGACAATTAACCAGTGGAACAGCTGGCCTCCAGAAATCGTGGGCGCTCCATCACTAGAGATTTTTAAGAAGAGAGTGGACATTCACCTGTCTGAGATGGTATAGATCAGTGGTGGCGAACCTATGGCAGGGGTGCCAGAGGCGGCACTCGGAGCCCTCTCTATGGGCACACGTGCCGTCGCCCCAGCCTCGTCTCCCCCCACAACCCACTCCTCTCCAGCAGCCCCCCTGGAGGAGAGTCGCCCTCGAGCGTGGCCCACACGGAGCAGTGCAGCCAAGGACATGGCAGCCAGGCAACGTAGACAAGACTCTGCCCTCACACCCCATCACGCAGTTGATGCTGCAGGGCGCAGGCAGAGGGTGTGGCCGCCATGGCGCTGCTGGGCTGCCTGGGCGATCTGCGGCGGGCCCTGGAGGCGGTGAGTGGTCCTGTGGGCAGGTGGGGTGGGGGATGGGGGGTGGAGCGGGGGTGGGGCCAGTTTGTGGGCACTCGGTCTCTAAAAGGTTCGCCATCACTGGTATAGATTCTCCTGCTTGAGCAGGGGGCTGGACTAGAAGACCTCCAAGGTCCCTTCCAGCTCTATTCTATTCTATTCTATTCTATTCTATTCTATTCTATTCTATTCTATTCTATTCTATTCTTATCATTATTCTATTCTATTCTCTATTTCCTATTCTATTCTATTCTATTCTATTCTATTCTTATCATTCTATTCTATTCTATTCTAATCTATTCTTATCATTCTATTCTATTCTATTCTATTCTATTCTATTCTATTCTATTCTAATCATATCATTCTATTCTATTCTATTCTCTATTTCCTATTCTATTCTATTCTATTCTATTCTTATCATTCTAGTCTATTCTATTCTAATCATTCTATTCTATTCTATTCTCTATTTCCTATTCTATTCTATTCTATTCTATTCTATTCTATTCTATTCTATTCTATTCTTATCATTATTCTATTCTATTCTATTCTATTCTAATCATTATTCTATTCTATTCTAGTCTATAATATTCTATTCTATTCTCTTTCCTATTCTATTCTATTCTATTCTATTCTATTCTATTCTATTCTATTCTATTCCATTCTATTCCTTATTCTATTCTATTTTATTCTAATCATTATTCTAGTTCTATTCTATTCTGTTCGGTTCTGTTATCATTATTCTATTATCATTATTCTATTCTATTCTATTCTATATATTTTTATTCAATTCTATTCTATATTTTTTATTCTATTCTATATTTCTATTCTATTCTATTCTACTCTATTCTATTCTATTCTTATTCTATAAACAAGAAAGTCCAGTTGCCTCCTGAAAAAAGCACTTTTGGGACAAGCGTGACCTGGACGGCTGAGAATCTCCATAGATTGGTCGCTAAATGAACTGTTGTTAAGCCGAGGACTACCTGTTATAGGCTGGCGATAGAGATGACCCCAAACGGACTCCAAAGTCAATATTTCCGAGTTGCGTTTTCCTACCCTTGAGGAACTGTTGGTTTTTTTTTTTATTGGAAATCAAAACCTATTTCATGGTGGCTTCTCCGGGGCTTGGCGTCCCAGGGCAAGTTCCTTCTCCTTCCTGGATCACCTGGCCAATGACGGAGGAGGCCCGGGACCTTCTGAAGAACGTTTTTGAGGGGATGAACGTTGGCAATGTCCCCACCACCCTTTCTGTCTTTGTCCTTCCACCCCATCGTCCTCATCCTTCTCTTTGTTCCTCAGTTACTCAGCACATTAAAGAGCTCCTGGAGAGAAAGAGTAAGAAGAAGTCCAAATTGAGAAAAAAACCCAAACCTTATGTTGAAGACCACGATGGTAGGGCCTGAGCTCCCAACTCCTCCTTTAGCAGCTTCTTCTCCTCCTTAGTCTAGTCAACATCTCCCCCTTTTCTGCACCTTCTTGGCCTCTGCTCCATCTAACACGGCTTCCTTCTTCTCCTAGCTGCTAATTTGGGGGGTGCTCCTCTAGATCCTGAATTTTTTTGGGGGGGGATGGAAAGACCCACTGCTGTTCACACTTTCTCCAGCACCTGCTGACCTCAATCTAATCTTCCTAGAATCCTCCTTTGCTCATGGTCAAGGCTGGCTGTGTGCCACAGGTTCCTGTTTGCAAGCATGCACCACCTCACTGGGGGGTGGGGTGATGTGGAGGCTGAGGGTTGTAAAAGGGAATTGCAGTTTTCCTATCCAGGAAAGGGGGGGGGCGACCTCCTTCCATTTGTCCATCATCTGTGTCACGCCAAACGTAGCTACGATGTAGGTTCACGTGCGACATGGCTGCGCACCGTGAACCTCTAGCCCAAATGCAGGATTTGACTGCATGATAAAAAGTTACTTCTGGCAGGGGTCCCCAACCTTGGCCACTTTTAAGACTGGTGGACTTCACCTCCCAGAATTCCTCAGCTGGCTGAGGAATTCTGGGAGTTGAAGTCCACCAATCTTAAAGTGGCCAAGGTTGAAGACCCCTGATTTATGGAGCCCAAGCCATATTATGACGGGCAAAGTTTGATATGCACGACCCAGCTGATGGCAGTCATCTTGACCAGGGGTCTCCAGACTTGACCACTTTAAAACTATGGGAACGTCAACTCCCAGAATTCCTCAAAATGCTGGCTGTGGAATTCTGGGAGTTGAAGTCCACAAGTCTTAAAGTTGCCAAGGTTGGAATCCCCTGATTTATGAAACCCAAGCCATAGTGTGACTGGTAAAGTCATTCTGACCAGGGATCTTCAAACTTGACCACTTTAAGACTATGTGAACGTCAACTCCCAGAATTCCTCAAAATGCTGGCTGCGGAATTCTGGGAGTTGAAGTCCACAAGTCTTAAAGTTGCCAAGGTTGGAATCCCCTGATTTATGAAACCCAAGCCATATTATAACTGGTAAAATTTGAAATGCACAACCCAACTGATGGCAATCATCTTGACCAGGGGTCTCCAAACTTGACCACTTTAAGACTATGTGAACGTCAGCTCCCAGAACTCCTCAGAATGCTGGCTGGGGAATTCTGGGAGTTGAAGTCCACAAGTCTTAACGTGGCCAAGGATGGAGACCTCCGATGAAGAGAACCCAACAGACAGAAAGCAGAGGTGGAGAGCGCTTGCAAAGGGCACCTGGGGTGTAAAGAGGAGGGTGGGGGCAAAGTCTGAGTGTCCACCTGCCTGGTCAAAGGTTGGGTATCCTGGCTAGAAGACAATCTCCCAGGGCCCAGCCCACCATCTTTCAGGTAAGAAACAGACCAGGCCTAACGACGGTATCTCCTTTCTGCTATGGGTCAGAGTTGAAGCCACCGGGGTCCTGTAGAAGTCACTGTGATGTCATACCATGTGTGATCATCTCTTTCTAATATCTGAGAAGGTCCATGGAGGGTGGTGGTGGTGGTGGCTTCATAAGATGTCCCAACTCTAGGCTACCTCAACAAGAGATGCTTCATTTGAGCATCCTGGATGAGAAGATCTCTCTCTTCCTGGGTGCTCTCTGAACTTGGATGTTTTCTTGCAGACGTCTTATGACCCAACTAGGGAGCATCATCAGGGCTAGAAGGGAGTAAGCTTGGGTCTTGTGTATTTTCTGAGCTTGGTTGTTTTTTGGCCAACGTTTCATGACCCAACTAGGGAGCATCATCAGTGCTAGAAGGGAGTAAGCTTGGGTCTTGTGTATTTTCTGAGCTTGGTTGTTTTTTGGCCAACATTTCATGACCCAAGTAGGGAACATCATCAGTGCTAGCTATGTTTTCAGGCTCTGAACAGACGCTAGAAGAAGGCCAGCCTGTTTGAATGAATTAAAGAGAGGGGTTGTGCAAGGTTCAACGCCCTTCCGAGTTGCGTTCGAATCTTGCCTTGTCCTAACAGGCAGAGCATAAGGATTGAATCAATGCACAAATGTCGCCGAGTATAGAATCTCTGTCCTTTGTGCAATGGCGACATGATGTGTGTGACATCACCATGGCACGCTTGTGCACATACACACACGCACACACGCACACACCCCAGATATCTGTAGCATTGAGTATTTGGGCTTTTCTCTTCTGCTTTGGCCCAATCAGCTGCTGTTGGGTCCGGAAGTAGAGCTAGTCACCGAAATGCAGATATTGCTCAACTTAATGAATGCAATCGAACCCCACATTTCCATTGCTAAGTTGCTCAGTGAGTTTTGCCGTGTTTTACGAGCCCCCCCCTTGCCACAGTCGTTTTGCGGCCTTCGAGCGAACCAAGTCAGTGGGGAAGCCGGCTTCATTTAACTGGGGTCCCCGTCTGAACCCCCACAGCGATTCACTTAACAAGCCAGGTCGTGGAAGGATGCTTCACAGCCATCTTGATGAGCCACAGAAGTTTTGGCCTCACCTGTGGTCGTAATTCGAGGACTACCTGTGTTCTGGGTTTTTTTTCCCCTCTGCCAGTGTTCTCTCCCAGCCTAAGTGAGTCCTTGTTCAGCTCCCAAGGAGCTTTTATTATTCACAGACCTGAGTCAATGTCCAAGACAAACAAACACAGTCCACAGAAACTCGATTCCTCAACACGAACGGTTGCCTTCGGCCACCAGCACCTCCCACACCTTCCCTTTTATTATGCAGCCCAGGCGTGGCTTCCTAATGCCATCTCCTTTGCCTTTGGAGCCGCCCCATTGCATCCCTTTGCCCTACTCCAGTGGCGAACGTATGGCACGTGTGCCAGAGGCGGGACTCAGAGCCCTCTCTGTGGGCACGCGTGCCATACTCCGGAGATGGCAACCGTCTCTCTTCAACCAGCTGCCCGCTAACTCACCGAGGTCCCACGTGGTCGGATGCATCCCAGCATGGCTGGTTTCCCTCCCCCCCCCGTCCCATCCCTCCTGGCCTCGCATGCTCTCCTTTTCCCGGGCACGACCCACTGCATTGCCTCCTCAGCTGTCGGCCATCCGTCCGGCTCAGAGGCGGCTTCTCTGAACTGCTAGCGGTGGGCTGCGGAGGCCCAGAGTGCGGCGGTCGAGGGGCCAGCTGGCTGTGGCTGCTGACGGACACTGTCAGCCCCCATGCGCTCGCTGGCCTCTGTGTGCGGGGGCCGATGATGTCAGGCAGCAGCCGCCCCGGCCCCTGCCTTGCCTTGCCCTGCGACAATGGCACCCCTGCCCTGCCTCACCTCACCCCACAGGACGAGCCTCCTGCCCACTGCCCCACCTGCCAGAGACCCCCTGGATCTCCCCACCCCTGACCAGCCCCCATAGGCATCCCTCCCCACGAGCAACATCGAGGTGACCACGCCCACCTTGGCCACACCCACCCAGTCTGCCATGACCGCCACGCCCACCTGGCACCCGGCGATAAATAAGTGGGTTTTGGGTTGCACTTTGGGCCCTCGGTCTCTAAAAGGTTCGCCATCACTGCCCTACTCTCTTTGCCTGCCGGCGCTTTCATGCATCCGGGATTTGTCCCAGCTGTTCTTCATCACTGTCCAACTCAGGCTCCCAGCACAGCTGTGTCTCAGCCTGAGCGTGAGTAGAGGGGCCAGGCTCCTCGTCAGATTGTAAGTCTTGCAGCTCCTTCCTCTGACTCTGATGTCACTCCAGGCCCCTCCTCTGAGTCCTCCAAGTCCTCGGACTCAGCTGCCGGGTCCACTGGCTGGCGAGCAATCACAACAACCAGCCTTATAAGGAGGGTTTGTAAAGGTGGGGTTGCAGACAAACTCTCTCCTGGGTTCTCATTCATTGCCCAGGATTGGCACATGATGTTAATTGCGACAAGGATGCAATCTGCCCTTTCCAGACAAGACCCTATTTCACAACTGATGCAAAGGGGGGTGGTGGAGGAAATGAGCAAAAAGCATAATTTTCGCCTTTTATCCCCGGGATTTTTTTTTTCCCCCTGGAAAGCTGTGTCTTTCAATAAAGGAGTGTGTCAGGTGCGTGGAAGAGAGAGAGGGTGGATCAAAAAAAAAAGGTGACTTTTTTGACCTACCTAGACCCACATCCCGGGCCTTCCTGCTTCCCCCTAAAACAAGGGCCGATTTGAATATTTTGAGGAAAGCCGAGCGGCTGCAGCCGAAAAGTGCGTTTATTAAAATTCGGTCGCACGTGGGGTGTGTGTGTGTGTGTGTTTCCCTCCACACAACTTCTACCCCAGGGGTAGGCAACCTTGGCTCTTTTATGACTGGTGGACTTCAACTCCCAGAATTCCTGAGCCAGCCATGCTGAGGGGAAAGGGAGAGGTTTCCAAGCTGAGCCATGCTGGCTCAGGAATTCTGGGAGTTGAAGTCCACCAGTCATGAAGGGGCCAAAGTTTTCCCCATGCTAGCTCAGGAATTCTGGGAGTTGAAGTCCGCCAGTCATAAAGCGGCCTAGGCCAGAGGTAGGCAACCTCGGCTCTTTTATGACTCGTGGACTTCAACTCCCAGAATTCCTGAGCCAGCATGGGGGAAACTTTGGCCCCTTCATGACTCGTGGACTTCAACTCCCAGAATTCCTGAGCCAGCCATGCTGAGGGGAAAGGGAGAGGTTTCCAAGCTGAGCCATGCT